CAAGAGGTGCAGCGCATGAAAACAGACTGTGAGCAAACCCCCCAAATTCTGACAAGTGATCACGTCTTTGAAGTCGTTGTTGACTTGTGCGGCCCAAACAGCTCGCACGAGTCATTCGAAAGGAGATATGCTTAGGGACCTGATATAGAATTGTATACTGATTTATCAATGTTTCTCTTCTGCCTAGGACGTGTATCTAAGCTCCCAAACGTAGATGAAGGTTACCTACTGCCACTAGACACAAGACCTAGTTGAAAGGAAACTACTTCAATTCCGTCTACAAGCTTTTGAGACATTTGGGGTACTGTTGGTCAAATACCTCGAAATATGTTGTGAAAAACAAGATCAGCAACGGATAAACACATCAGCCTGTTATAAGTAAGCCCTTTCTATTAAGTCTGCCTAAACTTAAAATAGTTTAATGTTTGTTAAACTTATTCAAGTAAGGTCCGCGGAATATGTTGTCATAAAACTTGAAAAAAGAGTTATAAAACAGGTAGACAAACAAGGACGCGCAATGAAAACAAGAAGAGGGATGTCGACAGGTCTACTATTGATGGAGCATGTTATAGCGCTAGTGATGATATGCTGAAACTCAGTATCATCATAACATCGACAGTAATAGACTCTCTCAGCAAACTTGGGTCTCCCAGCACAGGGTCCCTGAATGCAACGGTGGTTCCCCAAAACTCTGTAGGTGGTTGGACTCACGTTAACAGAGTTAAAAAGGATCAGGCTTTACCGTCTAAGCTGAATATCCCGAGTATTGTACGGAAATCAACCGGTGATTTTGCCACACAGTCTACAACCAAGAATGTCCGTCTGGTCATCAAAAGCTTGGGAATCAAAAATGTGCTTTGACCTCCAAACAACAAGGTGCTGAACCTGAACGGACCGGAAAACCTGGGAAAACAATAACGGATCATGATGACTCTCATAATCATGAACCTTAAAGACAACCCTGACCTTCCTATCAGGGTCAGACAAACAGACAAACAGGAAAGAAAAGCTCACGCGCTCCAAGTTGTGCGCATAAACTGTTTATACATTAACGCCGCGAGTTTACCAAATAAAATGGATGAACTACGTGATCTTAGCAGTGCTAATAATGCTCATCTGAAAGGAATATTTGAAACTTGGATAACGTCTCAGTCTACGGACCAGGAGCTAACAATACCTGGGATGTCTGTTTCGCAACGACAGAAAAACGGGAATTGGAGTAGGAGTAGCCTTATAAATACGATCATGCTTGGAGTTACACCAAGTTCACAACCAAGAGTTTATTAATCTTGATGAGTCCGTATGGCGCTCAGTAAGGTTGTCTATCACCTCAAAGTATCCAGTTGAGGTCATCTACAGAAAGACCACTGCTGACATCGAGTACGACAATAGTATGCTGGAAGGACGAACCCGCTCTACGTGTTTCGGATTCACTCATATCCTGATTCTATCGAACTTCAATCTTTCTAGAGTCAACTTCGCGTAGCATACCAATATTGGAGGTGAAAACTTAACTAAAGCTGGGTTCTTCAACTTCATTGGGAAACTGGGATTATACGAAAATATGTAGTCAGAAACCTGTTGAGGAACAGTCAGATACCGTCGCGCTTAGACTGGGTATTTACAAACGAAGAATCCCTACGTGATAATCCTTCAATCCTGGCTCTCCTTGGGAAACGTGATCACGTCGTTATGGCCTTCAGTTTTGTCAGCAAAACTGAGGTAAGATACCCCACTAACAACAGGCTCTTGAATTTCAGACGGTTGAATGTGTATGCTCTATAGGACTATCTACAACACGTGGATTGGGATGTTCACCCTCAACTTGAAGTGGATGCTCATTGGGATTTCTTACTGCACACGCTCTCACGTGCTACTAAGCATTCAGTTCCTCAAACAGTCCCCTAAAGCTACAAGCAACCTCCAATCATCAAGAACCGCACTCGTCGTTTGCTAAGACGCAAAAGGCACTGTTGGGCTGAATACAAAAGAATTGATAACAATGGCCCGTACAGGCAATACAAACATATAAAGAACATGTGCACAAAGGTATCAAGAGAAGACAGGCTTCAGAAACAGACCAAGCTTATCGAAAAAATTGTCTCCAGTTCGAAAAGCTTATTTCATTATTCAGCTTCTCTTCGACAAGCCAAAACTGGAGTTTCCCAACTGTTAGGTCCCAATGGTCTGACCAATAACGACGGTGATGCCGCTAATCTTTTGGCTGAACAATACTCCCGGACATTTCGACTGACCCACATCAACTACACTGATGTAAGCTTCGTCTGCAGCTGTACAGAACTTTCCAAAGTGAAACTGAGATCTGGCTTGGTGTTCAGTAAACTGCAGCGCCTAAAAATGGACACCTCTGAATCGGATACACTAAGGGAAGCAGCTTCAATCCGGGCAACGCCGCTTAGCGTGATGTTTTCACACTCAATAAGTCAAGGCAAATTTGGAAGCTGGTTCACATCACATCAATTTTCAAAGTAGGTCGACTCGGCGAACCTTTTGGCTACCGACCGGTGGCCATTCTCTCTATATATTCTGAAATTATGGAGTCCCTGATATGCGATGATATACACGACTGTTTATTATTCTTAAATACCTTCTCACTCCAACAACATGGTTTCAGCAAGGGCCACTCTTGTATAACAAACTTGCCTATTGAGGTGGACAGATGGACAAGTATCCTTGATCGCAAGGAGAAGGTTGACATCATTAACCTTGATTTCTCAAAAGCTTTTGTCAGGGTCAACCATGTATAACTTATCAATAGTCTCAAACGATTGAGTGTCAGACCGCGTCACATTGACTGTTTCACTACATATTAAAAAATCGACATCATGGTTAACTTCAATTTCTCTCGGACTATGGGATGTCTAGTGGGATCCCCCAGGGTTCAATACTAGGACCTCTTCTCTTCTTTATTTATATAAACGATCTACCGCAACAAAAACCCTCTGACTTGTTGCTTTTTGCTGATTATGTAAAACTTTTGAGAGAGATACGCAACCAAGAGGATATACCGGCACTTCGGGAGGAACTGACTGGACTTCAAAGTTGGGCAGACGACAACGGACTTACCTTCAACTTTTCAAAGTGTAAAGTATTCCATCTGCGGCACGTTTCAGACTACAGTTACAACTGAGGAAACACTTCTATAGAAGTGTCAAGAGTCCAAAAAGATTTAAGAGTGTTGGTGCCCTACGATTTGAAGTCTTACGCTAACTGTGAGAAAAATAACTTTCGGGCAAACCTTGCACTGGTCATTTTTTTGATGGCAGAAATTTCCACATAATCTTCATTAGTTTTATTTATCCACATTTAGAGTACGGAAACATAGTATTTCCTCACTCACCCTAAATGAATAAGGACAATCTGAAGCCTATACGACGGCGAGTCACGAAATCAGTTCGCGTACTCAAATTCAAGCCATTTGAAGAGCGCCTCTAATCATTAAATCTTCACCCACTAAAGTATAAGCGTCTGAGAGGTGACCTTTTAATGGCTTACAATATCCTTAACACTTCCCGACATCTTAAACAACTGCTTAAGCTTAGTCCCAATTCAAACCTAAGGGGTAACACCCAGAAACTGGAGACACGACATGGAAGAACGGACTGTAGACACAACTTCTACTCCTTAAGAGTTTTCAAATGCTGGAATTTGCTGCCGACTGAGCTAGTATAAGCGACTCCCCAGGAGTCCTTTAAGGTGCAACTTGACCTGTTCTTGTGGACTTAGGATAACATCTCATTATGATTCGCCAATTTCTTTTTCCTCTATTATCGTTAATATACCTGGGTTCCCGCCTGGATGTATTTGTGATCCACTGCTACGAGACATGCAAGCCCGTTAAGCGAAAGCTTCTTCTATTTGGTCAGGGTTAACTTCACTCTTTCTCAGGCTATGGAATGTCCCAGTGGGGTCCCCCAGGGCTCAATAGTAGGATCTCTTATCTTCTTCATTTATATTAACGATCTTCCTCAACAAGTTTCATCTAACTTATTGCTTTTTGCTGATGATGTGAAACTTTGGAGAGAGATACGTAGTCATAATGATATACTAGTTCTTCAGGAGGATCTGACCCGACTTCAAAGTTGGGCAGACGACAATGGACTTACCTTCAACACTTCAAAGTGCAAGGTAGTCCATCTGAGACATGTTGCAGACTATAGTTATAACTTAGTTAACTCCCTTCTATAAGCTTCCCAAGCTAAAAAAGGTTTAGGAGTGTTGGTACCCTATGACCTGAAATCGTATGCGAACTGTGACAAAAACGCCTCTCAAGCAAACCTTGCCCTGGTAACATTGAAGCGCATTTTTTGGCCAGTTTGACGGAAGAACCCTTCACATAATCTTCAACAGTTTTATTCGTCCCCATTTAGAGTACGGAAACATAGTATTTCCTCTCTCCCTCCAAAAGGATAAGGACACTCTGGAACGTATACAACGTGGAGCCACGAAATCAGTTCGGGGACTCAAATTCAAACGTTATGAAGAGCGCCTCAAATCACTTAACCTTTACCCGTTAGAGTACAGGCGTCTTAAAGGTGACCTTCTTATGACTTATAGTATCCTTAATACTTCTGGTCATCCCCTTAAACAACTTCTTAAGCTTAGTCATAACACTAACCTCAGAGGTAACACCCAGAAATTGGAGACCCTACATAGCAGAATAGACTGCAGACACAACTTCTACTCCGTTAGAGTTGTCAAGTGCTGGAATTCGCTGCCGACTGAGCTAGTTCAAGCGACCTCCTAGGAGTCCTTTAAGAGAAAACTTGACTTATTCTTAAGGACTAAGGATAACATATTATTATGATTTACCAAATTCATTTTTTCCCCTCTATTATCGTTCATATACCTAGGTTCTTGCCTGGAGGTATTGGTGATCCACTGATACCAGACACGGAAGCTCGTTAAGCGAAAGCTTCTTCTATTCCGTCCTCAACCATTTGAATTCTATTTCGTCCACCATCACTTGAACTATTTATATGATATTCAATAAGCGCAATAGTCAATTCAAGGACATGGAAGGCAATCGTGAAGATGATGATGTACTTTGTTTTTTTTTAAAAAGTTTTCATACAACTTTGAATAGGTGGAACAACCTGTACTTGTGGAAGAGCCATTGGACCTCATTAGACTAAGCTTGGATGAAAAGATCTACGTTAAAATGAAACGTAACCGTGAATTGCGAGGTGTCTTACATGTATGTTAATTTGTGATTGTACACCCTTTTGATAGGTGTTACGATTATCGACAACGTCATGAGTATATATATATATATTCATTTAGGCACTGTCAAGGAAGTCCTACTCACTACTTTCTCGCGGCGGGGATGTTGTTTACGGAATTACGAGGGCAAAAGTAAATGACTGGCGCTTTGACCGGGCTGGTGGACGCAGTGGGTTTACCTAAGAGGGGTTGGAAAACCCTTATTCCGAACCATTAGTGCTTATTGGCTACGGAAGTTACAAATGGCGTATAAATCTACTGTGGGTCACCAGCTATGAGACTGCATCCCCTGACGTTGCTCCACTGCCTTGTTGATTAGTCCTCTAGGTCAAAGATTCGGGGATTGGTCTCCTAAGACCACTTGCTCCGGTCTGGGCAGTATCATATTCCCCACATAAATCAATGATAACCGCTACCGGTCTCATTGTTTTTGTGTGGTACAAATGTATTTGGCGCCCCCATGTACCATTGTTTGTGTTCAAATAAATAAATAGTCGGTCATCAAGTGGGATGCAATTATATTTCAAGTCAAATATTCCCTTCATATATTTCCCTTAAACTATGGTTTATATAATTTACCTCGTTTCTTCACACATTTCACACACACCGTATACTTTTCTTGACTTCAGTTCACTTGTGCATTTGATCCGATTATTTCAGCTCGATTAATATCTTACGTGACCCACTAAGGCATCAAATCTAATAATGTATGATTCGCCATGTTATAATTATTGGTTCTGAAACTTCAGTGATATATAGCCGGTGTGAAGACATCATGCATTTTACTTGAGGTGTCTGTTGGTCAACTGGTTTTGCTATTCAGCTGTTTAAGTAGCGTCGTCAAAAGTTCACTACTTAGTCTAAGTCAGCCTTTTTTTCCGGTCCCACATTTCGTCACGTCTAGTAATACCGGTATATCGTCTGAGAACACTTCATTTCTCAGGCTTACTGACCCTAAATTCATGTACCGAAGTACCATCTACTAGACATAAGAACAGTATAATGCTTGATATTATCTACTGGAGGAAGTGTCCCTTTATGATTCTAAAGATTCATCAAACGGTTTTCCCAGGAATCTCATGTCTTTTGTTTGTTAGTAAATACGTGCGTCTACGTTTAGATTCATGTACTCAGAATTATGCCAGTATTTATGATAAGACTATTGATGACACCTTTACTGATGTAAGGCGAGTTTCAAACTTGCAACTTGATGTTCAAAAATAGAGTGCGTGGAATACTAAGAAAGCTTTCCACAAGTTTGTACTGACTTTATTACTTACTGTTAGATTCGAGACAATGCTAATGCATGCTTCCACACAAAATGTAGTTATTGATAAAGGTGTACAGAATCCGCCATAAAGTGTTATATAAACCAACCGGAACGATTTGTTCTCTTAGCCTATCAATTAAAGTTTTGACAAAAAGCACTACTATGCTCCATTTATTGCGGCTGGGTAGCGACCTCTTATTTTGCCACCTTAAGCGACTATCAGTCAATTGTAAACAGAGACAAATAGTTTCGCTTGACTTGTCTATTATTACCGCTAGGCTAATCAACATGAAGTTGATGTGTAGTCAATCTGTGTTTAGCTTATCCTTGTCTGCACATATGGCTCATCATGTACTGATGACAATACTCTGTCCTCCATGAAGTGACCTGAGACTGCGGTAAAACCGGAAACAACTGCAATTATAGCTAATGCACGGTATATGAGATTAATTTATTCTTCTTTATCCTATAAGTGACATGTATACCAAATTTTCGTCTGATTTGTAATGCGGAGCTTTATGTTTTTGCTTTTTGTACGTAATCTCTTTAGCGTGTACTCCCGTTAGAAATAGTGCCCTTACCTGTCAGGGTCGAGTGGTAATAATAAATAGGTCCAGTATTTCATATCCCTTAGTTATAATACGAGTCATAAGTCATTACACAAGTATATTATACTAAAACGATTAGTTCCACCAGATGTAAATAGTTTAATATATTGTAACTGAAACAGGCTTTTGACTCACATTTGAACATGATCCTGGGGAATGTTGAAGAAACTGTAACAACATTAGAGATAGATGAGGAAACATATGAAGAAGTTTACAAGGTAATCTATTTTGATCTCTAACAAAATACCTTCATCATTGTAGACGACGAAACGCACAATACCCATGCTGTTTATTCGCGGAGATGGTGTTATTCTAGTTTCACCTCCACAGAAAGATTAACTATTGTACAGTCAATTTTTATGCATTGTAATCCATATTCATATTTTCATCAATAAAACGTATGTCATTTAACAACAGTTTAGATATTTCACTCAGAAAGTAAATAATCCTATCACTTTTTAGGGGGATTGTGATATGATTAGCACACTATTCTTTAATAACCTATCCCGATCTTGTAGTTTTCCGAGAATTAACATGCAAGCATTGAGCTATTCATTTTCAAAACGGCACGGAATTGTTTTACTAGGAAGTACACGTGTATCTAACAGAAAATAGTGAGACATTTTCAGTAAATTGCAGCGAAGAGTTCAGCAGAAATGCGAACACAAGAACCTATGTCAATTATTGAATAAACCCTAACAATGTATATACTGATTTCCAAAGTTTTAATACCAGTGTTGTACTCTAATGAGAATCGAGTGAAATTTTTCTATGCTTTAGCACACATTGTTATTTAGTTATAAATTTCGACAGGTATTAGTGTGTATCTGACATAGGTGCCGAATTCGTGCATCCCAGTACCATCCCTTCCTAAAACCTTAAATAGACTCTTTCTGAGTAGAATTTAAGAAAGGCAATCAGTACTGTTCTGAAGTTCTAGATAATAATCGGAGTTATTGGACCAGTCCTACCAATGATTGGTTTGAGTAAAATAGCAATAATATCTTACTATGAAATTGGGTACTTCAGGTTCGAACACTGTCACACGAATTCGTGATTCATCAGTAAAAAAAGCCCTTTCGCAATAGCTGAGAAATTTTTCTACGTGCTTCTAAAAAGTATATACCTCATTGGAAGTTTAAACGTAGATTAGCTGATCAAGGTAATACATAAAATACTAAACAATAGAAATTTCAAGAGCACCGTCAGCCACACATTTCGGAGGAGTAAATCAGTAAAAATCACAGCGATTTTTCAATATCAGTATCATACTTTCCGCATACCGCTATCAAAACATGGATGTAGCGGCTAAATAATCACTTATCAAACAGTAACCAAACTAATTGACAAACTGCTTATGGAATGGCATCTCTCTGGTGAGTTTCATTATACTATTATATCTATTTTGACAGTTGTACAATTAATGTCCAAAAGTTACTGATAATGAGAACCAGTGTAAATGAAGGTACAATGATTGTTTCATCAGTCTCCTAATAGAAGTGAGGTGAACTGTTTTTATAACCGTACTGAGATTTGCGGCTGCGTAGTTTATATTCAATCACCGGATGTTCCTCATGGTAGATAGCGAACCCTACTTAAATAGCAGTCTACTAATGGTGGAAATTAATTGATCATAACCAACGCAACCTAACACCAATGAATATCGGACAAATTATCTGTAACAACACTTCCTGTTTACGAGTACAGGACAAAACTAAAAGTTACTCCCAAAGTGAGTGCTCATTTATAGCTCTGGAAAAATAAAAATCCTACGCAATCATGGTTTACTTCAAACCTACAACACGAAATGAGTGGAGGTATCTGAAGTAATACATACACTGAACTTAGAGGAGTACATTGTGATACTAAGCACGGGATATAAGTGAAACGTTTTACAAAATTCGTATGTCAACAATTAACAGTACTGAAATTTAGTTAAGCCTGTGAAAACTAACTGAGACCGTAACACACTCGGTTCTAAAAGAGTGGGAAGTGATAGCGTTATTTGAACTGATATTTATGTTTTATATTCTAGAGAAAGGATAGTTGGACTATAAACGTTTGCACGAAACTAAGCTATGAAAATTGTTCAAAAGTAATTAATGCACAATGTATAACAATTTACGGGAAAAAATAGAGGGCAAAAAATCAAACTGACAGATTGAGATCAATTTCGTTGACGGTATTTCTGATATGTAAGCTGGATTGTTCGACAAAACGCAAAATAACATCAGACCACTTGTTACAAAGCCAAGTATCATTATGATGACCATCCGGAAAACTCACAAGACCATCTGTTCCAGAATTAATGAAGGTAACTGGGTTTTGGGAAAGCGAGTTGGGCTTTGAGGGATTGTCGTACTTCACGTTCGAACTACATTCATTCCGAATATGCTGTTTTGTCACTATGTTTTCATAAGCTTCAGCAAGCTTCCACATCATTTTTGGTGGAATAATATTATCCAACTCACCCGAGATAAGCAAAAGAGGTGGGAAAGCAGATGATCTCTTCCTAGATTTGCTACAACTTTGAAGTCTAGCCAAGGAGGTATATTGATTGGCGAACAACCAAGAGGGTAATTTACAGGGTATATTGAGGATATGACTTGCAGCATCAGTAATAGATGTAAACGTATTTTCAATAATAACACCACATATTTTCTCACTTGATACAGGATCCACTGCCAAATAAATACCTAACGCTCCTCCCAATGATCGGCCAAGTACAAATATTTTTTCATTGTTCAGATCATTTCTCATGTACAAATAATTAAGAGCACACTTACAATCTGCATATAAACCCTCTTCACTTGGCTTTCCGGTACTCTGACCATAACCTCGATAGTCAATAATAAAAATATTACATCGGAAACGGTTTTCTAAAATTTGACACATTGGTAGCCGTGTAGTTGAGTTTCCTGCATTTCCATGCAAAAGAAGCACAACTGGACAAGACTTTCTGTGACATAAATCAGGTTGAAGAAGGAGGAAACCAATAATTGTTGGCCCGTTGTTGCCATTAGGACGTAATTTCACCAATTCCCATGTAGCAAATCCAAAAGATGATGGATTCATGTATAAAAATTTCGAAGAAGGTGGCTCATCACAAGCATAAACTATTGTCTGTTCTAGATACTGGAAACAAAACCATAAAGCAAGTAACAATAATAAAACTGAAATAAAGAGAGAAAGGGGCAAAATTAAATAATTAAGCGACAACGAAATTGGTATCCCAAAAACAATAAGAATAAACAAGCCAGGAACACGAAATGATTTGTTGCAGTTTATTGATAAACAGAAGGGCTTTGGATTTGTAATCCAGTAACTGAACTGAGAACGAATTGGTCGAAGAAAAAAAAACAAACGTCCTACTAAACCTCGTCGCATCGTCAATTCTTCATTCGAGTGTGAATTCGATTCACTCACGGGAGTTCCTGAGGTCTGAAATAAAAGCCAAGAAAACATGCAAAGTTACTTCGTAAAAACTGGATAAAGATCAGTTTTTCGAATACTACTACTATAAGAGCAAATTAATCAAGTGTATTCGAGTTTCCCGAAAATGTGGAATACGTAGTTTCCAAGCAGCAACAACAAGGGTAATCAAAAGAAGCACACATTGTGAAACTCCGACCAATAATGAGGTGAGTAAATATCGTGTTTTACACATATGCATAGTTTTACGACAGCGCTACGATAACGAATATCTTCAGACGCAAGAAATTTGCTTGTCTCTAAGAGCTACTGAATCTGCGCTATCAGTGGAATAAAAAAGACCAGTTTTTATCACATACATACTACAACACATAAGATTGATAGATGCAAAGCAGTCCTGTAGTGTTCATCCGCAGTTACGCTCTATTTAAAAAGTTACAAATAACAAAAATCATTTACGGGAAATTTTAATATTTCAATAACAAGTAGTTACTTCAATTAACACGAATCATAGCTACTAATAACAAGATGATAATACATATTGTGTCAGTGCCAATAAGAAAACGTGTTTCTGGGTAACCCCCAGTATTATTCGATTGGATTTACTGATTATTAGTTACTTGAGATCTGATGACAATCCAATATCGACTACTAACATTCATTTAAGCAATATTGATATATAATAATAGATTATACCGCGTTTGTATGGAAGTTATCCAGATAATCAGAGTTCAATGATGTAAAAGCTCAAACTCATTTCACTAAACTAGACTTTCCAGACCTGTCAGAGAAAGGTTATAGACCCATGAACTAGAGCTTTCAATATTCATAATAAACAATACCAGAACGGAACACAAACTAGGTTTATATGTAATTGGCGTTTGTAAATACTTCTAGTGAAATGGAGAAGTGATTATAATTTAATACATGAATGTTCTGAAACCAACAGCAACTAACAAGAAATCTGGGAAGCCAAATTCCCTCCGCTAACTACTGTTTAATGACTCATTCTATTGAATACATATATGAAGTCGGGAAACAAACGTTCTCATGTCATTCAACAATAAGGATTGCTAACAAAAATCACTTGATTTTTTGGAGTATATTAATAAAATTTCTACAATGTAAAAAGATTACGTTGGAAAACATGGACTGTTCCATAGCTTGTCAAAAAAATGTTGTAGCAACCAGATTAACTAGATATCGTACAATTTTTATTGGTCTGAATAAAAATATAAGTTAGTGTATTTGAAGTGTCGAAATCTTTTGTGAAGAAATTTCCGGTCTGCGGTCGCAAACACTTCTGGTATTCAAAGTTTCGATTGAAATAATTATTTCGAAGTTGATTATATGGGATTTAGCAAAATTACACTTTACCTAAAAAACATTCCGCGGACTAAACTATCGAGAAACATGTACAATTCTGATATATGAACACCCAACATTTTGACCTAGATGCCATGAGTGACCGCTAATTATAATCTTCGGAATTTGGACTTGTTGCATGTTCTAGCCGTAAGACAATTATATTAAACCAATAGCCATAAAATGACAATAAATTCTTGTCTTCGGTTGAGTTCACATTGTGACAGTATTCTAGAATGAAAAGTATCTCATGCTATCAGGATAAGTGTAGTTCAGTTTAAATCTTTCATTCTCATCTGGATTCATCGAAAATCAGATAACTATGTTTAGCGTCTATACAGACAGAATACCTAATAGAATAAGCTTTAAAGATGTGAATCAATAAACCACACTGCCAGCATTGTCATGCCACATTCGAAGCTAGCAAAACCGAAAACTAAGAATAATATTAACGTATAGTAAGTCAGTTTTTCCAAGTGAAATATAAAACACTGAGTACCATCTTCAGCATCATTTACACTCGAAATAAAATTAGTCTGGATGTGATCATCTTGAAACGTAATAGGAAAACAAGAAGAACATATCTGACCTATAGCATAAAAACGCGATCACCATAAGCTAAAATTCACAAATCTGATGGTTATTAAAATCGCTTGATTCTGCTATTTTAAATGTAAATAGTTATATGGAAATAAAACTAGGTTTGACACTGTATGATTGTATACTACTGTCTAGTAGTACGAAAATCTAAAGGTTTACAAATAGCTAAATGCAGTCAAACGCCGAACGAAAGAAAGAGCAAAAATGATAAACATTATCCCAATACTCAAAAAAGATTTGTGGATGATATGTACGTCTAAAGTGAATTTCGAATATTTATTGTAGTTATGGGGGGATACAAAAAGCAATGTAAAAGAAAAAGAAAAGTCTTGGGTAATTTATACAATTTATTTATACAAATCAGAATAAAAAACATTTGTACAAAAGTAAGTCATCTGAGTATGTTATTTAAGCACTTAGTCCAGCTTTTTTCTCTGCAATCACATATATTAACAGACGCCACATTTTTACTACAAATACTTCTGCCTCTTCATCTAAAACCTGAAGACAAAAATCACAAACCAAAGTTTAATAGCATTAAAGCCATATAATTAAATTCATATGATATGGTGATAATACTTTGAATATACGAATGCAATCAAGCTTGCAGTAAACCACATACGTATGACCGAACACTAATGGTGTGAACCTTCGTAAGATTGTTAGTATGAGCGACATTACTCACAAAACTAGGAGTAGTTTTCCACTCAGTAGACAATTAATGATCACTAAAATGATAGGTTGGACATATTTTCAGAAACCATAATCTGTTTGTCTAATGTAGCTCGAAAGTGTCTAAGCATTATTCTTCAAAGTAATCCTTTCACGACCATTGTAAACTTTGCAACTGCTCCGAAAAGTTAGTGTCAGTTATAACCATAACTAAAGTGACCAAAAATGTTGTGTTTCAAAGCCCCTATAACTAACTCAACCCACCTGTATTTAACTACCAATCAAGGAAAATAGACAGTTTTTATAAGTATGATTGGGGTTCTTAATTATTTTTTATTGCATTACTTAATACTGGTCGATATGTAGCATTTTCTGGCTATATTTATTCTGTATTCTAATACCAATTGTACAACATAGAGTATAAAATACTTGTTTTCATTATAATTACACTCAACATTCGATTATATTGGGGAACGTTTGGAAAACTTACCTGTGTACAACATAAATTCTACAGTTACCACACTTTACAGTACAAGAGGAAATCGATGAAAATGAAAACTAAAATTCTTAAAATATTAAGTCAATAGAATAGATTGACTGATCAATAAAAGGTTTGAAATGTGATAATGTGATCGATTATATGAGACATCAAGCAAAAACTTTCACAAAAAGCATGCACTATTTAAGTTATTAAACAATGAGAATAGCGATGTGAGAAAATGGAAACAATTGGAAATAATGTTACTGATAAACCGAAGAGAAAAGAGCGAAGAAAACCAATCGAAAATAAGAAGTTGCCGGCTTCACAGAATATAAAAAATTAGGTCATCTGTACTTTTCGGATGGATTTTGAGATCAATATTTTGAGCCATTATTTTCTATAGTCCTGTTTATACTTGCACATCTGATATAACTACAAGAACCTATATACATCTTTCATTTTAACTAAATCCTAGCAATATATAATAGACTACTGAGCAATATATTCTTTTTAATGAGTAGTTTGTAATACCAGTGATAGTAAAGGTTGGTGAGTATCAACCAGATTTCATAGCTGAAACGTAAGTGCTAAATAACCTCTGGTTGTAATAGTCAATATGTCCAACTACGTTATTATTTATTCTTGAGATATATGTCCACGTAGTTTATTCTCAATGTGTAATATAAACTAGAGATTCCTACGTTTCCACTTAAGAATAACTTTGTTAGCATATACATTTAAAATCATTATGTAGTCTGAGTATTATAGAAGATATTTAGATATGATTATCGCTAGACAGAAAAAGATCCGACGATTGAAGCAACACACAACAAAGGATAACAAGAGATAGAAAATCACGAAGAGAATGCCACTGGTTTTTAAGAATCAGCTATCATCAACGTAAGATATGATGCAAACGGGGATCAATCAAAGCTAAGTACCTAACACTACACACACAAGGAAGCACCAGAGACATATGTGCCACACAAACCTAATTCGATTTGCGTGAGGGCGGAACGGAAAAATCAAAAAAGATAAAGGGGATTAATGTCAACTGAAGTAGACATTTAGTGGTGAGCTATAACACACAAGAGAAGCAAATAAGAAATTGAAGTCAAGAGTAACAATCAGTCTAGTATTTAGAAAGTATAGAATGGATGCAACTGTTCCACTGAAGCTGAATAAATTTATATATATATACTTACCATGGCAATGTCAGCAAGAATACGTTCTGGTGGATTGTGATGTAGTAGTTGATCGCATATGAAACTGGATAATGTGGCTTCAGCTTCTCCGATATAGCTTACAATCTTCTTATCTACCCAAGGCTTTATTCGAGAATTGACGAAATCCTGAAAGAGAACAATCGTTTGAAAAATTATTCACTGTGAATATTCATGGTAATGGATGAAAAGAAGGAACAAATAAATTGTTCATATCATGAAAAGCGCATCAGAACTGATCTGATATTGTTGTAAATTTCTAGAAAATACGAGAACCCATTGTTATGATTTCTTTAAAAACA